AAAGGGTTACATCACTCAAATATTGCAATAATGATGACTTAATTCTTACAAGGAAACCACAGGTAACTTTACCCAGAACCTGTTTTAGAACTGAAAGCTCATTTCAGGAACATAGGAAGCAGATTGTGTGTGTGTGTGTGTGTGTGTGTGTGTGTGTACGTACACATACACATCTTGACTGTTCCACAATACTTTCTACATGGTGCAATGTTCATATGCATGTAACACAGGGCAAGACTTTGATCGTGTGAGTCATTCATTCACACACACACACACACACACACACACACACACCTGCAGATACTCTTGCTTCTGGATGCCTGTATAATTGTCACTGAATGATTCAGTGTAATGTGATATCTACGGTTGGCATCTGAGGGCATGGTATACTGCCAACAGCATCATTATGACTGAGGCAGTCCTGAAATAAAAGTTTCTGGATACACAGGATTTTTTTTTCCTTCAGTGAGGAATCTTCCTGACTGATCTTTAGACTGCTAGAGGATAAGGAGCAAAATATCCCAATCAGCTGCTTTCTGTGATCTGTGAACATCATACCAAGCCCTCACTTGTGTACACATTACACAAGGGTCCCTATTTCCATAGGACGGTAAAGTCCATAGAATGGCCGCAAAGGTAACACAGATTCCAAAAGGATCATGATTTATCCTTCATGTAGCCTATTGGAACACTTAAACCAACTAGGAATCAAAAGATGAATTTGTCACCCAAGCCAAGGTTCCTGGCTTGTTCCTATTCAAGTCGAGACCACAAACCAGGGGATTGTTCTTGCTATATAGTTCTTGACTTGTTCAGCAAAAATAGGGCAGAAGTCACTGCCTGACTATCACAGCAGCTGAAGGGGAAAATATTGGAAAGGGGGGGGGGGTCGTGTCTTTTCCTTTCTTTCTGTGAATAAAATATTTTCTATATATGAACAGAGTTCCTAAAACTGGGAGGTTGGAAAGGAACAAGAACAACAGATGTGCTGCAATTTGTACACATGTTATGGTACAAGATTTATTCTACTGCAAGGATAGAGAGCAATTAAGGAATTATGATGAGATGTTAGTGATTTTCCAGAAGACTGATTCCCAATATTTTATCACTGGCTGCAACTTAAGGTTCCCCTCCACCCCATGAAGCTGCATAAGAAAATAAAAAAGGGTATGGATGGAACCACAAGCAAACCACCAAAGTCCACAGCAGTTCAGGAAACCAAATTCCTAGGCTTGAAACACATATACATGATTTTTCTAGGTTCTGCATTGTGTGGAAAACCTTCAAAGACTCTCAAGAAGCATTGCCCTCTTCATTTGAAGGTGATAGAATATGGATAAAGTCAAGCTTCCCACCATTCTCTGAGGCAACTAGCAACTGAACACAAATGCCCTATTCTTTAACTCTGTGTCCAATATCTATGTTCATATCCATTGGTCTGAGTCTGCTGATGGATCTCAAGATTAAAAACAAAACAGGCTGGGCAGATCCCGGCATCTACTCATTCCTGAATAACCTCTCCCCCTCCCCCTTCCCCATTAAAAACAGTCAAGTGTAAGAGGAGGAAAAAAGAAGGAAAATAAGGAGGATGGAACAACATGAGGCCTAAAATTGTGTGTGTGTGTTTACATCATGTCCAAAAATGCTCTCTTCCAAGACACTTAATCTCACCCATGTGCAGGCCATGTATAGGGAACAAACCTGCAATTTTGGTTCAAAAGCAACTGCTAAGCTCCCGTCTTCTGGTGGGCTAAATAAGTTGTGGGAAAGTCCTGAGTTTCAATAGCGAATGCATCCAAAATAAGGAAGAAATGATCTCTTTGTTGCAAGCAGTTCTAAAACCATTCAGCAATGAAGCCATCTACTACCCCGAGCATTTCCCTCCAGGCATAGAAGCTGGAAACGTATATGCACCAAAATGTATTTTCAATCCTAGGTACCCCAGGCAGAAGCTGCTGGAGACACCCATGGTGTCTCAACCTCTTGGGGGGGGGGGGGTCAAAGATAGCTTATTGCACATTAATCCCCCCCCCAAAAAAAAGGCTCAAACAGAAAGAAATTGATAGAGCTGCACTCTGGACATGGTCAGAAAGACTTGGTTTTGGTGACCTGGACATCTGAACTCCCGAGAAGAAAGGACTCTGGTGCAAATCCCTGAATGCTGCCAGAGAGAGTAAGCCATCCTTTAGCTGCAATTCTAGGTCGCCCAGGGGGTGAAGGGATCCTTCATCCTCCCCCCACCCCACCCCTCCCCGCGAAGGGAGATCCAGCTTCCCATCCTCAGCTTGACTGCCAGCTGCCCAGCTTACCCGTGCGGGGGTCAAAAGTGACCACGAAGACTGCCAAGATCTGGTCTTCCTCTACCTGCGCCGGTTCCTGCTCCTGGAGTCGCCTCCCGGGACTGGCTCCCAACGGCTCCCCCTTGCCGCTTCGGCTCCTCCAAGCCGAGGAGGAGATGGTGGAGGAGCGGCAGCCCCCCCAGGTGCCGGGCTCCCCGGGCTCCGGTAAGGTAACGGCCGGGCCCTCGGCCCAGAAGAGGAGCGGCGCGTCGTCGGCTTGCTCCACCATGGCCGGCCAGCTGCGGCGCGCGGAGGTGAAGGGCGGCGCTTGAGCGAGCCTCCGCGATCGCTCGATCTCCGCCTTCCCCCCGTCACCGGCTGCCTGGCTGGGTTCCCCCGGCAGAGCAGCCAAGGAGAAACCGACAGGCCTGGCTTGAAGAAGGATCCCCGGCGCCCCGATCCTTTGTGCTGGCGGGCGCAAGGCCGGAGCGAACCTGGAAGGTGGAGCCCGAGGCTTTGCATGGCTTTAGTGGGAACTGGACTGGATCCGGCTGTCGAATAGAAGCGCATAAAGAATTGCAGCTGGATGGAAAGCCGGATCCTACTCAAGCTTCGGCTAGAAGTCAATCTCACTTCGGCTAAAAACAACCACAGAATTTAAAGCTTTACGCGCATTGAACGGCAGTCCGCTCAGTAGCATTGAATTTCACAAGAGTCCCCTTATCCCTTAAGGCCACCGTTTAAAAAAAAACCGTGCAGGGGTGCATATTCATGAAAGCAGGGAAATGTTATTTCTGAGTATTATGGCGTTTATAGTTTTGTCGGTGCATTTCCTCGGACTTGGAGACCCAGATCTGGATTGCAACGCTTCCGACGACCAGTAGATGGGGCCTATGGGATCTGCATGCAGAGTTTTGCAACGTACACCAAGGAGATTTATTTTATTTTTTTAATCAAAATCCATCTCTGACATGGGCCAGAGGGCGATTTGCTGGGCACTTTGGTTCAGCGTCTTTAAATGTGATTAAATCATAGGGTTTGCATAATAACTTCAAACTAACCACACAGCCTCTGTTTTCTAACATCAGCCACCAAAAGTATTTGCCAAATTAAAATTAAGCCAGCTTGACAAGTCACCTGAAGAAAATACGTAGCAAAAGCACTTACACCACTTCACTGCTTTCAAGCCCTCTCTAAGCAATTTACAGAGTGAGCATATCCTCATTTTACTGATCTCAGAAAGATGGAAGGCTGAGTCAACCTTGAGCCTGGTGAGATTCGAACTGCCAAATTGCATAGTGAAAAAGGAGTCTAAATTGTACTAAAAGAACCAAAATGCCATCAGCTGACTGATTCACACCTATCCTAAATTAGGTTAGCTAACTTGGTTTATTGAATAATCTTTTCACCAGGCTTGGGTTCACATAGAATTTTAAATTATAAATCATTTACAAGCCATTATGGCCAAGTTCCACATAATACACTAAAACCACATTATGATTGTAACATAGTAAGCAGGGGCTTTAAGGATTAGAGGCCTCTTTATCATGTACCTACTTCAGTGTTTCTCAACCTTGGTGACTTTAAGTCCTGTGAACTTCAACTCCCAGAATCTAGAATTCTAGAAGTTGAAGTCCACAGGACTTAAAGTTGCCAAGGTTGAGAAACACTGACCGACTTATTATGTAATATGTTTGACAGTTCTGTGTCATATACCACCTCCTTCAAAATGATTCTGGTGTTGGATATGAATAATACCAACCTTGAATATCCCTGTACATTAAAACAACCCACACACAGTATTCTTGTAAGATGGGAAAACGACAAATAAGAAAAATAATTGCATGTCAATAACATACTAAGGAACATAACCAACACACATTTGTCTCCTATTTTGCCTCTCATATTTAGAATTATAAGCCTGTGTGTCTGAAAACAAGCCATATTAAGCAAAGCAGCAATCTTGTCAGCCACAAGCTCTGTTTGACTATTATCCAATTTTTGGGGTGGGGGGGGGAATGTACAAGATTTGGCTCAGACAAGTGAGAAACTACACTTCGTATGGAGCTTTTTGTTAAACACAAAATGAAACTTTTTTTTTTTTTTTTTGGGTGGGGATATGAAATTAGAAAAAAATGGTTTGCAATACTGGAGTNTGTCTGTATCCCCCTTCCCTGATTTGAATTGTGAGCTGCCCTGAGTCCCCTTTGGGGAAAAGGGCGGCATATAAATGTAATAAAATCAAATCAAATCAAATCAATCAAATCAAAACTTAATTTGTCACAATGAGTGGCAAAATGTCCGTCAATTCTGGCAAATGGAGAATTGGCATCTCTGGTGTCAGATGGGGCTACACTGCCAAACAGACCTGGTGTGTAATCTGAAAGTTCTCCTGGATTCACAACTCTTATTTAAGGAGCAGGGAGCAATCAGGGCCAGGAGGACCTCTGTATAACTGTGGGTTTTGCATCAATTATGCCCGTTCCTGGATCAACAATCTCTTCTAACAGGCACCTAACCTTTTCATTTGGACTATTGTAATACCCTGTACATGGGCTGCCCTTGAAAATTATGTGAAGCTTCGATGGGTTCAAAATATGGCTGCTCACATGCTTTTATGAAAATGTAGATTTGCACTTGTGACACCTCTTTTATGGGAGATGTGTTGACTGCCAATTTGCTTCCCAGTCCAATTCAAGATGCTGGTTGTTACCTTCAAAGCTCTACATAGCTTGAGGCCATGTTATTTGAAGGACCATCTTTTCCTGGTCACATTTTCCCAACCCACTGGGGCAGAAAGGCAAGGAATGAATTGGGTCCATCCATTGGGATAAAGAAGGGCCTTCTCTATGGTTACTCCTTCCTTGTGAAACATCATCTGAATAGCGATAAGATTGCCCCCCCCCCTTTGACACGCTTTTGAAAGGTTCTGAAGACCTGGTTCTAACAGCCAGAATGATATCAAGTGGCTTGTCTGATTGTTGTCAAGAGAGAGGTGGGATGTGTTGAGATTTTACTTTTGTAAGCTGCTCAGAGAAACTGAAAGTGAGTTAGGAAGCCATATAAGAGTGTGTGTGTCTGTGTGTGTGTGTGTGTGACTTTTACTATATTTGAATAAGCATAGTAAATGTAGCAAACAAAATCAAACCTTTGCAACCAAAGGTCTTTGCAACAAAAATAATAAAAAAGAGGAAACACACCTAATTGAGAAATAAAGGAAGAAACATTTTAGAAATCGGATTCATTTCTTTCATCCCCATGCAAGTACATTTTACACAGCATCTTCTGTTTTGTCCCTACTCAACCCCTGAAGCAACATCTCCAGTAAGAGTTTTCTGCCACTATACCGGAAAACCCTGGAGAGCAGACTTTTCATCTTGTTAATAGTTAACCAATCCTGTCAATAGAGAGAGAGAGAGTTCTCATAACATATCTTGTTGTTCTTCAACTGCCTACTTGAGAAGCTAGGTAATTGCTCTAGGTAATATTGCATGCCTATGTCAACTTGCAAATAAGACCTGCTAAAGAGACTGTTAGTAGTTATGCAAAGAATATTTTATATTGCCTGACTTGTAAGTATAATGTATCACCGGGATGGCAAACCCATGGCACACGTGCCACAGGTAGCACGTGGAGCCATTTCTGAGGGAATGCGAGGCTTTGCCCTGACTTCTCTAGTGCACATGCGCATGATTGCCAGCTGATTTTCAGCCTTGATTTTTGGCTGTTTTTTGCCCCCAAGCTTGCCACATCAAGCTTAGTTTTGACCTCGGGGGGGCCAGGGTGGGCATGATCAGCTCAATGTCAGTCATGTTGGGGACTCCTGCCAGCGAAAATGGGCTCCCGAGCTCCATGTTTGGCTGCAACGGCCTCCTGGACCCTCTGCCAGCAAGAATGGAGGTCCGGAGGGCTGCCATGGCCCTCGTGAGCTCCGTTTTCACCTGTGATGGCCTCCTGCAACCCTCTGCCAGTGAAAACAGAGCTAGGGACAGCTGCAGGCATCCCTCCCAAGCTCCTTTTTCACTAGCATAGGCACTGTAGGTTGGTCCTTCACTGCTTCCAGGGCAGCCCCATGGGCCAGATCTAAGCATCCTGCAGGCCTTGAGTTTGACACCCCTGCTCTAAGAGAACTACAGATAGAATTGATCCTTCTGTGATATGAAGTTCTGCCTATCAATTATATTTGCTATACCAATTAGGTAAGCAGCCCTTATCTTAAATGGACTGAAGGTATTGCCTCCACTCTTTTTTCCCAGGGCATCTCTTATACAAGGAGGAGCCGAGGTGGCACAGTGGTTAGGGTGCAGTACTGCAGGCCACTTCAGCTAACTGTTA